TAATTAAAAACATCAACTAAGGAGCCGAATGGGACCTAACCGAATAAACAGAAAAATGTCAACTTGAAATGAAATATGTGGTTCTTAAAAGAGATTTAAAACTTTATGTAACTTGAGTTTTGATCTTGAAACTTCGTGTAGCACTAGTCTAAGATCATAGTCTTCATAGTGGTACCCTGAGTCCCTGATGATAGGCAAGTATGAGCCCAATCTTTTGGACACAGCAGAATTAGTCTAGGCCCAATATATTTGGTCGTAATTGGTAAAAGATTGTTTGTCTACAAAACAACAGAGCGTATCTAAAATGGGATATAAAGTGCTTAAAGATTCTGATATGCAAATTCCAAATTTGAAAATGAAAGAACTCGTAAATCAAGATGCATTGTCCCAAAGAGAACAAAAAAGAGTTCATACTTTATTTAATTTTTTTTGCTTAAATGATAATGCTATTAAATTTAAGTAGGTACGATACGACCAACCCACGTGAAGACATGCATGTATTTGAGAAAAATACTTGTTAATCAACTACTTATTTTAATTAATTAATCAGAATAATTTATTTTCTCTTAGTCCCAATTCATTCTTTTGAATAGTACAGTGGGTCCATAAAGAACAGTTAAGTGGGCTTTTTGGCCCCATAGCTTTGATTCCCAAATGACCCCTTCTAAATAAACCGACTCTTGTGTTATTCTCTCTATCCATATTGACAAAATATTTCTTACTAGAGTTGAATAAGATTATATGTATAGGCATATAGGGAATCAGAATGAATTTGATTGTTCTAAGGTAAGTTTAGAGATTTTAGAACTATCACTACTTGGTGAATTACATTTTGTTTTGAAAGTAATACATGATTTGTATGTTTTAATAGTTTTAGTGTCAGATAAACACTACAGTTTTCAGAGAAAACTTAAAATCCACTTCGTTATACATGCATCGAAAGTCTTTAAATTTACATAAAGTTTTTGCTCTGAAATTCAAATGTGGTTTCTCGTTTTACTATGAATATCTGTTCTATCAATGTATTAGTAACTTTGACAATATGAGTTATGTTTTTGTATAGAGTATTTTTACCTAGATGACATGATATTTAATGTCTTTGTATATATGTTCTATATTATATGTTAAACTTATAACCCAAAAAACTAATCTTAGTAATGTTGTTATGAATACAAAGTTTGAGTTAATTTGTTTGCTTATCTTTTACATAGAACATCACCAGTGTTTAAGTATGAGTGCGTGTGTGTATATAAATACATCCTTAGCCACAACGTTGTACATAACACAACAAAGAAAAAGAAAGTGAAGAGAAAAATGGAGAATTCTCAGAGTCAGAGTAAAAACAAGAAGAAGAGGCTAACACAAGAGCAAGTAAGACAACTGGAGAAGTGCTTCACTGTTAACAAGAAGCTTGAGCCAGATCTGAAGCTTCAACTGTCGAACCAGCTTGGTCTACCTCAGAGACAAGTTGCAGTCTGGTTCCAAAACAAGCGAGCCAGGTCCAAGACTCAGTCTCTCGAGGTCCAACACTGCACTCTTCAGTCCAAGCTCGAAGCAGCTCTCTCCGACAAAGCAAAGTTAGAGCATCAAGTGCAGTTTCTTCAAGATGAGGTGAAGAGAACGAGGAATCAGCTTGCTCTGTTCACAAATCAAGATTCTCCTGTAAATAACTCTAATCTTGGTTCTTGTGATGAAGGTCATGATGATCAAGTGGTGGTATTCGACGAGCTTTACGCTTGTTTTGTTAGCAATGGACATGGATCTTCATCAACCTCATGGGTCTGATTCTGTTTCTACATAGACAAGATTCCAATATTTAATCTTCTCTCTGTTTTGTTTCGTTTGATTGGTTTCTCTTTGTCTGGATAGATTTACAATCTGTAATTAAAGTCATTCAGACATTCCACTAATACAAAGAGAGGAATTTTCTTCATTTCTTGTTATGGTTATAAGAATATAAGAGAATTGGAATCAGGATTTGCAATGTTGTAACAACACAAGCTAAGAAACCAACAACTACTTCATGGTCTAGTTTCATCTTACCTTGTTGATCACACCAAGTATTTTCATTCAATATTTAGTATCATGTACTAGATTCTGCAATGATTCATTAATCTAGTGTTAAAAGAACTTGATCATCCAAATATAAGCAAGACTATTTGACAATCACTTGCCAGAGAATTATGAATCCGCAATGATTCACAAAGCAGCCTATTGCTGGATGAGCAAATATCAATGGTTCACAAAGCATCCGCCCTACTGATGGATAAGCCAATATCAGCCTTTGCTGCATCTATCCTCTGCCCTACAACAAACGTTTAACATGTAAGCTGAACGTTTAACATGTAAGCTTCATTCCTAAACAGAGTTCTTGAAGTTGATCCTTCTTGTATGTGATGTGGATTCATTGTGAACAATATTATATATCAATGACTCCGGTTCAAATTGAGCCGGCCATGGGGCCAAGCAGGCCAAGCATGCACTTGCGTCCTTCGCAAAATTATGGGCCATTAATGTAGTGTGTTACAAAAAATAGAAAGGACTTGTTTAATAGTGCTGGGATTCGGCCCCAGACCCCATCTAATCTCCCCCTCTACAAATAACCATTACACTAAAGTGACTTTTTGGTAGTTTTACGTTTTTGTGAAGTTTATAGAGATCACAACTTTTTTTTTTTGGTTCCAAGATTTACAAGAGCATTAGGGATTCTAGAAAACCTTTCTTTGGCATTATTAACACCAACATATCTTGGTCAATCCCACGTCTTTATTTATGAAAGAAAAGTCGCATTCTTGCTTTGTTCATTTGGACCGGAAAATATCTCGAAAATATCAAGAAAAGTCGCATTCTTGCTTTCATTCTTGCTTTATGAAAGAAAAGTTAACGAGTTGATGAATTTATCATAGAAAAGTAAAACATCGAACAAAGACAAATCTTATTACAACTTCGAGGTAAAGACAAAACACTAATAACTACTTCATGGTCTAGTAGTTTCTTATTTCGTTATCTTATGACAGCTGCTACGTACTTTCTTTATAATGAAATTGTTTCATTCAAGATTTGTATCGTTGACTAGATCCTGCAAAGTTTCAACAAATTTATCGGTGTAATCGGTTAATAATCCATGACTAACCAAAACCTCCTTCAATTTAGCGTGGTTCGTCCTCACCAGATTCCCTAACTCACTATCTTTGTCCATTACCAAGGTGATCGCAACACATAAGCTCTCTTTCGAGAACCATCCTGTTTCTTCTCTTTTCACTTCCACAGAAACCTCAAGTTCCTCACTCATCAATCTAGTGTTGAGAACTTGATCACACAAATATGGAAGCAAGACTATTTGGCAATCACTCACTAGAGACTCCCACATTGATCCAAACCCACAATGATTCACAAAGCATCCTACTGATGGATGAGCCAATATCAATGGTTGCTGCACCCATTCTCCCCAAACCACTCCATGATTCTTCACCCTCTCCGCAAACCCTTCTGGCAACGCTTCTTGGATCGTCTTTGCGCCTTTTGGTGGCTTTACCGCTACAAGAAACGGTAAACCAGTGAGCTCCATTCCTAAACAGAGTTCTTGGAATTGATCCTTCTCTAAAGTGATTTGACTTCCCAATGCACAATATATTACCGAACCGGGTTCGAAATGATTTAGCCAATGATCCCATCGATCTTCAAGTGGTCTACTGTTGTCTGGCTCTGGAAGCATTGGACCTGTCAAAAGAACCTTCCTCTGGTATTGCTTCTCGATATAGTCGCAGAATTTACCTTCAACTTCTTTACAAGTCCTAATTGAGATAAAATCACAATTCTTTAGACCTGTTGTTATCCGGTAATGAAGCCTCTCGTAGAAGATGGCAAAAGTCAACAAAGCGTGAGCATCGTGTCCACGGTACAACACTTTTGTCGAAGGATAACCAGGTGGAGGAACTCCTAGTTCACCACCTGGGACAAGTTCATGAGCTATGGAGTTAGCCGATACCACAAAGTAGAGCACACTCTTGACGTTATGTTCTCTCGCCATTTCCGGAACCCAATAAGCAAAATCAAAAAATATCAGGTCTGGTTTTAAAGCACGAACCGCGGCTTCGACCTGATCGCGTGTGAGATCCATGGCTGCGGTCAGAAACTTCCCCAACGAGATGGGGATATCCGAGGCGGTCTCGGCGCCATCAGGGAGACCATCAACATGAGGAATAGTAAGAGGATAAAAGACGATGCTGTCTGGAAACAGATTGTGATGTTCCAACTGTTTTTGAGCTTTCTTAGGCAGCAAGAAAGTAACCCTATGACCTTTCTCAGCTAGCTTGTTGGCTAGATGCAAGTACGGAGTCATATGACCATAAGCGAACCATGGGAACATAAAAGCGTGAAACTTTTGGCCCATTTTTCTTTCCTAAATTGTCGAAACAAGGTGTCAAAGATAGCCAAAAGATGAAAATTTTGCTGTGTTTCAAATCATAAGCATCTTTGTTTTTCTTGCTTCAAAATTTCTGCAATTGAGATAGCCATTGACTTGGAGGAATATGCTTGTTAAAGTCTTTGAAGGGTGTTTTAGGTTTATTTATTAGTGAGGGTTGGTGGTTTAGTTGGTGAAGTAGTGGATTGCATGTGTCTAAATGTCATTTGTTTTTATTAGAAAATTTGGCTAATCTAAACATTATTTGTAATGTCATGCCTCGAGAAAATACAATGCTACGTGTCAAAAAGTCAAAACTCAAAAGTAATCGATCTTATGAATATGACATACCAGGTTTGACGACGAGTGTCAATCTGAACCAGATGCATATGGCCCTTATTTCATTCATTCGAATCCGTAAAAGCCCAAATGTCCTTACAAAAGTAAAACATGAGATGAAAAAAAAACAAACACTCAAGGCAGGTTGTTCTTTAACCTTTAATCTATCTTTCTTGATTCTCTTAGGATCTGACTTCTTGTTAGGAGAGTACTATCTTATTCACTAGTAGATCAACAACTTTAGAAACAAGATCTATCAACAATTTAAACAGACCCAAATTATCAAGTTAGAAGCTCTTCAGGCTTAATATGTTTTAGCTAGGAAGATGAACCTCATATACCCTCATGAAGTCATGGTATTATTACAACACAAACACACATGCAATCTCACGTTCCAACAAAGAAAGCAAAACAGTCTTCTTTTCAAAGATCAAGTAACTAAAGAAACAGATACATTTTTTAAAACCAGGAGGAGAGTGGATGTTTTTTCATTCAGAGAAATGCAGCTTCGATCGGTCTTCGACCTTGTTGATAGTAATTGAAGAAGTTCTTCTCAGACTTCTTAACTGCTTTGTACAATCTTGGTCTAGCCTCAGACACAAGCTCAGTTACAGGTTGAATCTCTTTGTCTTCATCAGCATCACAAAACGTTACCACAGATATCCTTGCCTTTTCGTTGTTAAGCACCACTCTATGAACCGGGCTCTTGTATATTCCATTGCTCATTACCTAAACATGCATGAGAGATTCTGTCAAATCTACACCAATCAATTCAAATATCATAGATGCATTTTATTCACTATCATATACACATGAATCATGATTGTTACCTCCATAGTATCTCCTACATTGATCAGAATTGTATGAGGGAGGATTGAAGCTTTATACCACTTCCCATCTTTGAGGAACTGAAGTCCATCCACATTTTTTCAGGTAGGATCATTGTAAAGGCCGAGCCATCAGAATGCGGTTTAATTTAAGCCCAAGAACCTTGTCCGGCCTCGGACATGGAGGATACATGTTGAATCTTGTCTCCAACGTAGCATTTTCACCATGCATCTCTAGAAAGCAATTATCTTCCAACCCCAACGATCTAGCTAATGCCTTGAAGAATTTCTCAACCACTAGCTGTTGCTTCATAGTGTATTCAAGTAAAGTTTCCCTAAAGAAACGATTTTAAGAATCACAATCTAAAAGCAGCCCGTCTCTACCCTTAGGCTAGGCAAATGCCAAGGGTCCAAAATTAGTTTCAAAAATTTTCTTAAATAAAAAGGCCCAAAATGTTTTTGAAAAAAAAATTACTAAGAAGTTTTAATTTTTTTTTGGTTTTGCCATATGTCTCATTATAGATTAAGACGGTAGAAACTGAAATTTTCATGGTCCTAAGGATTTTACCTGAATCCGCTTGGGATTTTAGGCCAGAACTTAAGCTGTCGTTGATCTTCAGGATAAGTAATGAGGTACAAGCGGTCGACCCAGTCAAGAACTTGATCATCAGACAGAATCATGTCGTTTCCAAATCCTTGAAAACTACTAATCTCTCTTGCGTACTTATGTTTCTCTTCGGTCGGAAGCACAAAGAACTGCCTCGTTAGCTCGAGAATCTTGTCGAGAAAGGCTTCTGAAATTCCATGATTCATCACCTGCTTCAACGAGTTATCAAGTTTCTACGATGAATTTTTGAGACTGTGATCATTAATAAGAGAGTCAAAAACTCAAACCTGAACAACGCCCCATGTAGAGATCGCTGAGTGAAGTTTACTCAACTCTTCTCGACCGTCATCAGAAGAAGAGAGGAGAAGACTAAGATCGATGACCATAATTTCCATTTCCGGCATCGAAACGTTGAAAGGTTGATCACCTTCTCCGTCGCCTGTTGGGGTGCAGAGGTATCTTTCCGGTAGTTTTTCTCCGGCTGCAAGCAGCTCTTGGACAGTCTTGAACTTTGGCTTTTCCATTGTTTCAAAGGATTTGTTTGATGATCTTTTTGGACTAATTAAAAGAAACTTCGTAATAAACGTAGATGTTCTTGAATTTCTGGCCTGTTTGGTATTTCCAAACCCAAAGACAACACTATATTAATACGTAACAGGACAAAAATTGCCGTTTCGTTTACCAATCTGAAGAGACAATTTTCAAAACTAAACAATACTCCTTTATTTTTTATTTTTTTTCTTTGTATATATCGATTGTGGCCAAATTTAAAGGGACACTTAACAAAATACTACTAAAATATATTTTTGAAATTAAGAAATTACACAATGTAAAATTTAGTTTTGAAAGTTTATAATTTATTTATGATTTATGATTTAGGGTTAGGGTTTTGATGCCATCAAAACTAATTTGAGTAGGTCTCGGCTATGAGAAAATCCTGCCGGTGCCAGCTTAGGTCTCGGTTAGGGTTTTGATGCCAGAAATGCAGGCGGCCTGACTACTCCCTGATACTTAGTCGGAAGGCATTCCAAACTCGGGATAGGTAGAGTGGTAGCATGTAAGGGCCTAACCGTTAACACGGTGAACCAGTCCACTATGTAGCACCTCGATGCGTTCCTACCAGGGCCGACTAGATAGCCGATAGGATTTATCAAAAAATAAAATAAATAAATACTGGCTTTCAATCCTGCCGGTGCCAGCAGGGAGGAAATTACTCCGACAGTTTCGTTTTTTTTTTTTTTTAGTTCGACGGTGCGTTGTGTCTTTTTCAATTTATGAAGTCGATGGTCCCTGGTCTTCGGCAAAAAAAATGCATATTTCTATGAATTGTTACTAATTGTGTACTAATTGTGGCCTCAATAGAAGCAATATAAAAACAAGTATTTAAGCACCTTTTCTTTTTTTTTTTCGTCTCTGGCTTTGATTGTTCCGCACTGAAATACCCTTATATGAGCTTGGAGAATGGTAAGGTGAGTTGGGAGAATAATCAGTGGAATAGGTGAATCAATCAAATTTTTTTTTTCATCCGAAATTAATTAGAACTCAGAAAAGCTAAATTTGTAAATGATTAAATGATGATGTCCTCTTAAGTAGAGTCACATTCTTTTGTTTTGTTCTGCTTTTTCTTTTTAAGGTGTTTTTGAGTATTAATCTTTTTGTGTGTGGGCCAATTAAGTTAAGAGATCCATCCAATCCGCCGAACCTTATACCATAGAAACTGAAATTTGAGAGAGTAGAGCTTAAAGTATTTTATTCATGTGCTTTCTCTTCTAGACTAGTTTCTGTAATTCTTCTATAAACTTATTGACATAACCATTCATTAGTCCAGTACTAACTAGAGACTCTTTCCATTTAGCGTGGTTTCTCCTCACTAGGTTCCCTAGCTCGCTATCTTTGTCCATCACAGACCTAACCGCGCCGCTCAAGCTCTCCTTTGAAAACCATCCAGCTTTCTCTCTTTTCACCTCTACCGAGACCTCGAGTTCCTCGCTCATCAGTCTGGTGTTTAATATTTGCTCACCCAAATGTGGAATAAACACTATTTGGCAGTCATTCACTATAGCCTCCCACATTGACCCGAAACCGCAATGGCTCACAAAGCAGCCTATTGATGGATGAGCCAATATCAATGGTTGCTTCACCCATCCTCCCCAAACCACTCCACGCCCCTTAACCCGCTCTTCGAACCCTTTCGGTAAGGCTTCTTGGATCGTCTTTGCGCCTTTTGGTGGTTTTACCGCTACGAGAAATGGTAAACCAGTGAGCTCCATTCCTAAACAGAGTTCTTGGAATTGATCCTTTTCCAGAATGATTTGGCTTCCCAATGCACAATATATTACTGATTCTGGTTCGAACTGGCTCAGCCAGAGACGCCATTGATCTTCTAGCGGTTTACTGTCTGGATCAGGAAGCATTGGACCCGTCAAAAGAACTTCTCTTTGAAATTGTCTTTCGATGAAATCGCAGAATTTTCCTTCTATTTCTTGGCATGTCCTTATCGAAATGACATCACAGTTTTTAAGTCCTATCATGATCCGTTCGTAAAACGTAGTTCCATCTCCAAACGGATAGGAGAGGAACGACAAACTGTTGGTTTCTTGTCCACGAAGCAACACCTTCGACGAAGGATATCCCGGTGGAGGAATACCCAAGTCATCTTGACTACAACCAGGGACGAATGAGATAGCTACACATGCTGCAGAAATCGTTATGAAATTCACACTCTTGGCTCCATACTCTCTAGCTATTTCCGGAATCCAGTGAGCAAAATCAAAGAAAATCATATCCGGTTGACGTATTGAAACCGCTTCTTCGACTTGATTTCGTGTCCGATCCATAGCCGAGGCGAGAAAACTCCCTAAGGAGATCGGGATATCCGAGGTTGTCTCCGCGCCAGCAGGGAGGCCATCGACAGAAGGGATGGTAAGAGTGTGAAAGACGATGCAGTGTGGGAAGAGATTGAGAGGTTCAAGTTGCTTCAATGCTTTCTTGGGGAGCAAGAAAGTTATTTTGTGACCTTTCTCAGCTAGTTTGTTAGCCAGATGCAAAAATGCAGTCATGTGACCAAAACCGAACCATGGAAACATAAAAGCATGAAACTTTGACCCCATTTCTGTTCTTATGTTCCTCTGTTTTTTTCTTCTTCTAATCTTGTTCTTAAGGTTCTTTTGTTTCTGTTTATGAGAATTCAGTTTCAGATGCCTAAAGTTTAGGAGAGTACTGGTATGAATTGAATGATTCGAGTCTGTTACGAATCCCCCAAAGTTTTAGTTTTGATAAGTAATTTTTTTCTATCTATTTAAGTTGTTATAGAATCTGTCGTTTCCTTTTGTTTTTAAATTTCCGTAAATTACTCCCTAATCTATGGTGTAATAATACAAAATTAACAGCAATAATTGAATATACTATGTAATTTAGCTTCCGGAAGCTGTATTCCTCAACTTATGGAAATTGCAAAGATCATGACATTCAAGGTTGTTTCTAATAGTAATATGCCAAGTAAATTGCAAATGATTAATGAAGTTATGTACTTTCCCTTTTCTTTTCTTAATATAATATATCACTAGATCATGACACGTACTATAGTACGGGTTGAATTTTATTTACTACAAAATTTTATATATTATATATTTTAAAATAAAATTTTGATATATTATAATAGTAACTGAATTATTATTTTTGTAAGTACATATATATAATATTAGAATGAATATATTTTTGTTTTATATAATACTTAATTATGGATAGTATTTTCTTAAGATATGAAAACATTAAGTAATATTAATTTTAAAAAATTAATATTTTTTGAACTATGAGTTAATTTATTTTAACAACCACAAAATGAGATTGCATATAATTCAATTAGATAAAAAATTAGAATAAAAATCAAAATATCATAAATGAGTTGGATCTAAAACGTAGATTATTTTGATTTAATTAAGGAAGTTAGCAATTATTTTGATTTAATTTAGGAAGTTCTTTTTTCAATTTGTAATTGTTTGGTTGTTGAAATAGAGATTTTTTGAGCTAAATACAGAATTTAGCAAGTATTCGTATAATCAAATATGTTATAAACATATTATGGTATATAATAATACCAAATATAATCCGTGCGTGGAGTCTGTATTTTTATTTTATAATCCCAATGAAAAAATTACGTGCACAATCCATCATGGCATCATTCGTTATTTTCAAAATTACTTGCAGAATTAAATTTTCAAATATTTAGACGTGTCAGACCTTATTTAACACATCTCATCATATAATCTTAGCATGCTTTCAGTTATAAGGATCATTTCTTATCATCATATAATACATTATATTTAATTTGGTGTCTGCTATACATATTTTAAATATATCTATTTTATAAAATCAAATTAGTGTATTTATTAAAAAATTTCTTTTTGATTTATTAAATATTATGATATTCTTTACACTATTAAATTAAACTATTTTTAAATGTTCCAAATTAAAATATTTTAAAATTTTTTATTGTAGGATATAAAATTATGGATTTCAAAAAAGAATTGTATGAAATGAAATAAAATATTCAAATAGTTATAATGATCATACCATCATATAATACAATATATTTAACCCGTCGCCTATTGTAAATATTTTAAAATATATTCTTGATCTATTAAGTATTGATGATATTTTTTAAAAATATCAAGTAAAACTATTTTTAAATGTTTCAAATTAAAATATTTTAAATTTATCGTAGTATATAAAATTATACATTTCAAAATCCGTCACTAAGTCAAAATTTTTATTGAAATTTGTTTTTGTTTTAAAAATATTTACCAAGTCTGAATTTTGACCCATTACATTTTTTTCTTCATAGATTGAATAATTTATATTCGTTTTTAAAAATTCGCATATGAAGATAAAAATCTATTTTTTTTATTATATGAATGATATGATGATTTATTTGTTTCAGAAAAATAGAATCATATAAAAATGAGAGGTGAAGTATAATGATTAATAACAAATTAATATGATAAGTTAGATATCAAATTTTATATGATCATTTTGATTGGTCATTTTTTTTAGAAAAACTAATAATGTATTTTTGTTTTTATAATTAAATTAAAATTAAAAAAATTGCATAAATTAGTTTTTGACTTGTTTATTTTATGGGAAATTGTTAAAAATGCCCCTTTTGGTGTGCCCCTTTTCAAAAATACCCCTTTTAGATGTCCATTTTCAAAAACACCCTTTTTTAAATCTAAAATTTTTATAAAGTTTTATTAGGTTGATAAGGTACTTATGGATTGTAACTACTACTTGAAGACTCGATCCAAGTATTTATAATGTTTTATAAGGTGTTTTTAAAGGTTTTACAAGTTATTTTAAAGGATTTTTAAGGTTTTTCAAAGGTTTTACAAAATATTTTAAAGGTTTTTAAAGGTATTTAAAATGTATTTATAAGATATTTATAAAGTATTTATAAGATTTTAGATACATAGAAATGTAGTTTGTGTATGTTTTAATAATGTTACATACATATTTGGGTAAATCTTATATTTTTAAGAACATTTTTTATAAGGTTTTAAAGAAGGGGCATTTTTGAAAAGTGGCATTGAAAAAGGGGCATTTTTGCAAAAACCCCTTATTTT